TCTTCCCCTTGAGATAGTTCTGTGCCCTGGATGACAAACCTCTGGAAGTGTTCAAGGGTCTCCACTCCCACACCCTACTGTGGCTTCTCAGCTTCCACTGCCACTCTCAAGACCTATGACACAGCAAGCCCCCAGCTCTGCATCTCCAACACCATCCCTAACTCACCTACCTCAGACATTTGGTTCCCTACAGAGACTCTCATAGGCAGTATGTCTCTGAAACTCCTCCACTATAAAATGATTATAAAACTGTACATGAGGGGCTGGAGAGACGGCTCAGAGGTTAAGAGCGCTGGCTGCCCTTCCCAAGGTCCTGAGTTCAATTCCCAGCAACCACATGGTGGCTCACAACCATCTGTAATTTGATCTGGCGCCCTCTTCTGCTGGTGTGTAAGCAGAATACTGTATACATAATAAATAAATAAATCTTTAAAAAAAAAAAAAAAAAAAAACTGTACATGAGGTCTGTTCAGACCGCTTACATATTAGGCTAAACTAAACCCCATTAGGGGCTATGTCTGACCACTGAACTTAAGTCATCTTTAAATGATCACACTACCTGGATTTCAGGTGAACTTTCAGTATAGCACAAGTTGAAGATTCCTCTCACGGTGACTAAATGCTAGCATATCACAGTCCTGTGGTGGGGGTAACTTACTCCTTTGGATAAGGTTTGCACGTGCCATTCCATCCTTCCATTCAGATAAGCTGGAAGGTTAGTGCTGTGACACACCAGTCCCAGGTCTGTCCCAGGGTTGGCTGATAGATGGTGGTCGAATTTCTGTAACACCTTCCCACTGAGTCATGGCTGGACTCTGTGGCCTACAGTCCCAGAGGCTGGGACAGGAGGAGAGCATGGCATCAGCATCCGCTTGGCATTTGCAGCATAATGTAAATGGCACCACAGGGCAAGACAGCAACTGCCATGACGGAAAAGGTTTCCCTTCCTCTTCTGAGAAAACCATGGATGACATCAAGGGGGTAGGGGAGAACCATCTAATCCCAACTACCTCCCAAAGGCCCATGGGTGCTATCACGGGGGGTGGGGGAGAATCATCTAATCCCAACTACCTCCCAAAGGCCCATGGGTGGGGGGGGGGTGTATCATCTAATCCTAACTACCTCCCAAAGGCCCATCTCCAAAAGCCATCACGCTATGACTTTAGGGATTAAATTCCCAACATATTAACTCTGAGAAACACCCAAACCAGCATTGCAGCTGAGTGCAGAGGTCCAAATTTTCCAGTACACAGGGGAGTGCCCCTACACAGGGTAGGGGCAAGCCTTGATTCCAGCTAAAAGTAAAACTGCAAGCTTAAGGGTATTTAAACATGTATGTATGTATGATTGTTTGTTTGTTTGTTTGTTTGTTTGTTTGAGATAGGATTTCTCTATACAGCCCTGGCTGACCTGGAACCTGCTATGTAGACCAGACTAGTCTTGAACTCATGGAGATCTGCCTGTCTCTGTCTCTTGAGTGCTATGATTAAAGGAATGCAACGTCCATGCCCAGCTAATGCTTACTTTTTAATTGACACAGTAACTGTATATATTTGTGGGGTAACCTCTTTGATTTTACATATAGGAAGCGAGTTACCCCAGGCCTGTGGCTAGGTTATAGCTCTGTGGTAAAGTACTTCCTGGCATGCATAAGACTCTGGGTAAAATCCCTAGTACAGGAAAAATCGAAACAAACAACAAAAACTTCCCATGTCTGCATGACTGCTAAGAAACCACAGCAAACCAGTGAGTCAGTGACAACCAAATATCAAAACTGCAAAGAAGTCACTCAAAAATTATTGACCAAAAAAAGCATTCAGATTGGGATGTGGTAGAGGTCCCTGCTTCCTCACCGTGTTCAGCTTCCCTCATTACAGCATCTTTACCTGTTCCTTCTGCTCCAGATCCCTGGTGAGGATCAAAAGCCCAGGGCAATGACCGCTCCTAGAGTGCTTGGAGTTCAGATTGGGAACTAAGAAAGCAAACAAACCACAGCCAACATCTGCCATACAGATAGAAGTGTGTGTGTGTGTGTGTGTGTGTGTGTGTGTGTGTGTGTGTGTGTGTGTGTGTGTGCGCGCGCGCGCCTTTGAAACATAATACAACACTTGACAAGTGACATTTAATAGTTTGTGCATTTCTACATCTGGGGCAGGTGGCCTCCGGGAGCTGAGAGCATCTCCTGGCTAATCAATGAGGAAAAAAAAAGCGTCACCTTTACTCCTCCTGGCTGACAACCAGCAGAGGGGAAAGGCACTTAGTCCTGTGGCTGTAAGGATGCACACACACTCTGCCAATGGCCTGAGATGCTGGAACGGACACTTGCCTGGCCACGTCTCCAAGAGAGAACACTACCTAACCAGGTTCCTTACCGCCTTTGTGAGCTCGTGTTGAATGCACTGCTTAACTGTGGCCAGGCTCCTGACACACACAAAAAAAATTACGACAACGAACGTTATTCTATACGCCCGAGGTCAGGTTACACAGCAAGAGAGGCAGGACGCACCCGTCTAAGGAAAACCAGTGTATTGTAAACAGGATAAAAGGCACTGGGAAGCCCCACTTACCACAGGCTAGTGGGTCCCCAGATCATCAGAGAGCTGGATGACCTACCAGCAGCCCTGAGTGAGGGAAAGAAAATTCCTGATTAACCCCCTTACCTGTGCACAGGGCTAGGGCAAAGGTCTTGCTTTTTATTTTTCTAAACGATCCCCATGGTTCTCTGGCATTCAGAGGGACCACACCACAGCTTCTAGGAGGAGCCCTCTCCTGACAAGAGATGGTCTCTGGTGTCTCCTGGAGCAGGCAGCTGTCTATATGGCGCTCTTGGAAAGAGTGCAAGTCTAAGGAAAGGAGGCCTGACTTGGGACTGAATGAGGAATGTCAGTCAGGGTGCTTAAGAGTCATGCCTTGGGCCTGGGGAGTATGGCTTCATGGTAGAGTACCAGCATGCACAAGGCCCTGAGTCTGATCCCTAGCACTGGGGGGTGGAGGGTGGGAGGGGAGGCACTATCAATTCATTCATTACAAATCCTTACTGTTAGTTATTATATCTTAATAAAGAAGGAAACAGGCAAAAAAAAAAAAAAAAAAAAAAGAGGGGCAGGACGCAATAAGCCAAGCTGAGGAAGGAACAATTAGCTGCAGTGGAATCTGTTTAAAATATTTTATGCTCCATTTAAAATGGAGGTAGAATTTCATAATTGCTTACTACAGCTAGCACAGTAGAGATCCTGACAGCAAAAGTAGCTACCACAGTTAATCTTCCATTCTATTGGGCATGATAAATTTAATTCAGTAGTTATACACATCTTGATTGGCTTTGAAAATTATAAATTTATAAACTCAAGTTCCAGTT